TATAACAACACTGTTGTAGCCTTTACAATCAATTCCTTAAATTTCTTTTCTTTAGTGCCCGGGGGGGGGGGGAAGGAGAAAGAGGAGTTTATCACCTTGATGAACAGAGTATTTTTGTTCTAAAGGACATTCATGTGTTGTCCTAATCCAAACATGTTCTTTGTCCTCCCCCCCACCCACCCCGCCCCAGCCCCAGATAGGAGGTATGTGGAAGAGGATTGCCTTTAATGCTTACCTCATTTTTTAGATTGCTTGCTACAGTTGTTTTATTGGCCCTTGTGTCACTGCCAGCCTGCCAGAGTCTATTACTAACCTCATATGGAGCAAATTATTTGATCATGAATTACAAATTTCTGTGTGTTTTGTTTTTTCACTGTTCTGTACCTAGTGATGGGTATGTCTATCTCGTAGGTTGTAACGAAGATACAATATTATCTCGGTAACCTACTTTGAAAGCTCTTATGCTCATTTAACATGACAAAGTAACAAGGCTTCAGTCGCACAAAATTTCAGGTGCACACGAGCTGCGAAGAAGAAATATACAATGTCCAAAACAATATATTAATTTTAATGTAACTGATAAACATCTGACATATGTTGCTATTGCATGTTTCACTTGCTTCCGTCTGTCTTTGGGGTTAACTCTGAAAACGCTACCATGTCTAGTTGTCCCACACAGTTGTCATAACATGCCGTTTGCATTTGCCATTGCTTAAGTGTGGTACAGACCTCTGCTAAATTTGAAACTTCTGTTAGGTTATTGCCTTTTTTATGGTTTACCCTAATGGTTACCTGATATTGGAGAATATCAGGTACACTTGAAGAATGAATGACGTGAAACTTACTTGTTTAGCTAATCATTTTGTAGTCTTCCTATGTGGTAGTATTGAGTCAGACTCCGTAAGTATACAGCTTTGTTTTATATGTTTCCCTGCATATTAATTCAAGGTCCGTTTTCTTTTTGCTAGACAATCAGCTCATTATGAAGCTAAAAATGCTGGATTGTTTAGTTTAGTTCCTAAACTAAGAACTTCCAGTCTTAGAAGATATGCATACCTTTCTACTGAAGAGGTATTTCTCTAATTCTTGCGAAGAGTGTTTTGAGAGATAGGAAAGAGAAGTATCATTTTTTCCTCAGAATGTAATCAGATTAAGTGTTTCTAGCTATCAGTGTTAGTTACCATAGAAATATATTCATGGATGTGCTGTTCCTAAAAGGGAATGAACTCAACAGGCACTCTCCTAAGGGCTTTGCCTTCAATTTTTGAAACTGCTCTCTAAAGTGTTTTTCACAGTCACTGGAGTGATTGTTTAATTCAGCAATTACTGCTTATATGCAGCATGCTGTTTTTCTCAGTGCAGAGTAACTGAAAAACTGTCCTCAGTGCATTAGTGCAATATGTTCATAAACATCCCTTTAATTAATTTCATTGCGTAGATGGATATACATTTCTCCGAGTCTTCTGTTGCTTTGCTTTAGTTTCATAGATGTGGAAGAACTTTTCATAGCCTTTGCTTTGTTTGTTTAAAGAAAGGTTTTAACTTGCGGTTCTGGTGTTTTTTCATTAAAAGGCTAAGTACTTGCTCAGGCCTTGCTCTGCCATAGCTATTTTTTCCTTTTTCTTTTGGACTTTGGTTCTAGCTCTGGCATAGTTGTGGGGTTTTTTTTCTTCTTTCTATGCAGCTTTTCCTGTTTTGCCTCATTATTGTTTCCTTGGAACCTACACTCTGAAAGAGAAATGGAAGCAACAGGTGGTTATTCCAGATAGAGTAATGCAGATATGGTGGTAAGGTCTGAAAAGTGAAATTCCCCACAGGGGACAGTGTGAGGTTTGGTCAGATGCTGCAGAGAAATGACTGAAGTTTTCATTGCTCCTTGCACAGAAGAGACTTGGGAAACTTAAAGAATCTCACAAGGGAAAATGGAAAGCTTTCAGTACTAATAGTGCTGTGTAGTCTCACAGAACTTGAGTATTTATCTCTGTGGCTTTTTGCTTAATTCTTCAGTCAGACAAGTACCAGTGGCTGAGCATCTTGCTGCCATTTTTCAGTGCTTCAAAATGCTAAACTTGACTGCTCGTTGACCCGTCATAAGATCTCAGCAGACAAAAGTAAGCCAGGTGAGGATGGTAGGTCCTACGCAGCCTTTCATGTCTCACTCCTGTGCTGTACTTAGAGTAATAGTGTACAAGTGCAGTCATTATTTTCTTAGCTGTACAAAGCTGATTGAATCTGTTTTGGTGAATAGCTAAGTAGTAGCCTGGTAGTCTTTGAGCTTTTTAGAAGGTAGGATGAATACAAAAGACATCGCAGATGGCAACAGTATTTTTAACCCACAGAAACATTCTGAACGTCTAATCTTAAACATTGTGAATTTTATTTAATACAGTATCGTCTTGCTGAGTGCGCAGACGGTCTGAAGCATAAGCTCATTGATGTATAGACTATACCTTTTTTCATCTCAAGCATACTTTAGTCCTGGAGGTAAATTTTGACATTGCAATTTATTAGCTATATCAAAACACAGAAAAATGGATTAAAAAAAAAATTGAGATGGGTAGGAACTACACCTGACACCAGAAAGGTGAATTTGGAGAAGGCACATGTACTATCCTTATTTTGCTCAGCAGAGAGTCTGCAGCACCTAGTAAAGTCAGCATGTGAAATCATGGTGTCCCAACATGCATAACAAACCCTAATCTTTTCTCTAGATATCTTAAGGTTCAGTCTAAGCTCTAAAAGATGACTACAGATAAACATATGAGCATATAAAAAGGTTGACTGGCATGATAGGCAGCTCATATGCATCAGCACTCTAGTAGTTGTGAATAATTTTAGGTGTTAAGGCAAAGAGGACTCAGTAAGAGAACGGTGAAGTAACTTGGTGAATGTTTAAGAACTCTCACCCAAGAGGAACTGCATGGAGGAGAGTGAAGATGCTTATTTGAAAATCAAACAGGTAGAGGAGCTAAACTGGTTGTATGAGCTGGCTTTGCAGTAAAAATTCGTCTTCTGCTACTGAAAGAGAAATAGATGAGAATAATGGGAATAGGAATATTAGCTGTGAATGGATTTGAATGTGGAGACAAGAGTGTTTCATTAGATTCTCTTCGCTTTTATGAAGGAGGTAAAGAACAGGGTGAGGCATGTTTCCTGAGCGTTTTTTTATCAGGTTGGAAGGTGCGAAAGGCCTTTTGCTTTGACTCTATACGTGGAGGCAGGTACTGCTGTACATAGACAAAGACACAGCATGTGCTCTGGCTAGGCCACTTCTGTTTGCAGCAAGCTCAAGGCCGCATCGATAAACCTGTGCCAGTATTTCAAGGAAATAGATGTACTAAAGCATCTAAAAGCTTCTGGGTTAGTTTGAGCGAATTTGCTGTTGCTTATCAAATACTAAATGTGCGAGGGTAAAGGGTTTGCTGTTTGGTGCTAATGAAACCATTCAACAGTGTGGAAATATGCTGTAGAACATCTCTTTTTGTGTTACAGCTGACAAACTCTTACTTGGCTATTGGTTTTTAATGGAAATATCCGGAACTTTTAAGCTGGCTGATTAATGCATGTTACCATGCTATAACACCTCCCGGTTTGTCAAATCTGAATGAGAATCAGTTCTGTGGTCTCATTGTTCTGCTAGTCTTGTTTACCATCTAACCTCCAGGATGCATCTGTCATGTACTATTACATTCTGAGTCTTAATTGTTCAGCTATCTCTGCCCCCAGAAGTATTAAAGATCAGGTTAGATTTCTTTTTGTGTAGAGTGGCGCCTTCTTTTTAGAGGATTTGTTTTTTTGTTTTTGTTTTTCCTCCCAGTGATTCCTAATCTGCCAAAAATTCCACCTTTTAATCATGCACCTGCAAGGTGCTCTGAGTGTTTGACTTTATTGACATTATCTGTAACAATGAGTTGCTTTGCCTCTCAAGGGGATTTGTCCTATTAGCCGTATTGGACTCCTGAATTGAAATAACTGAAGGAGCATGATTTTCCAGGTTATATTGGGCTCTTTGTCGCATAGAAGCCTGCAGATATTCCTGCTTTAACCTACCATTGCGATATTTTCATGTTCTTGATTTTTTTTTTCTCTTGAGGCCCCTAATAGCTGGAATTGCAGATCCATGCCCGAAGTCATTTTGGCTTCTATTTCATGAACAGTGACTTTGTTGCTCCTGGAATGAATGCAAAGGGAGATTAAAAGGAGTGCAACTTGCATGTTCTAAGGCCTTCGAAAGCAAATGACAGGACTCCAAATTCGTTATTAATTAAATAAAAATAAATTTCATGATTTATCACGCCAATTTCACAGTTTTTGTAAATTTAACAATGGAAGCATGATGTTACTATGGCCTGTGGTTTCCTGACACGCAACCAGAATGATTTCTTTCTGTATTTCGAGCTTGTTGATGATTTTTCTTGATGTAGGTAAGTTGTATAAGAACTGACCTACTCAGTAGAGTGCTAAGGAAGCTGTGATGGCGTTAGTTTTTATTTTAGCTTGACTTTTTCAAATGACTTCTGGATTCCTGGCAGTTTTACGTTCTTCCTTTCTTTTCCACAAAGTTGTCAGGATTTGGTTGTGTTCAGAGATTAAGGACACTTTGGAGAGCTCACGGAGAACATAGTTACCCCCTGCTTCCATCTCGCTGAATTCTCAGAAGCAGCTTGCTTTTAAGTTATTTTAAACAAATAAAGGAGTGCAGTTTTGCTATATCCAGGTATATCTGCTGTTTCTCTGTGTACCACTACAGTGTTCTATCTGTTCCTACTGGTAGCTGCTTTATCCAGTGAGGTGTTGTTTAGTACTGTTGCAGGGTAGCAGTTAATGCACTGTGAGAGTGTTAATATAAAGAAATTCTTGATACGCTTGCTGTTCCTTTAATACAGCTTACATTAATTCCCATCTCAAGTAGGAGAAAAGAAAGTAAGTACTGGAATCAAATGTTGTGCCAGGCAAGCTGGAACTGGTGTAATTAATGATGCCTCTCGTTTCCCTTTCAGGTTGTTTGTATTCGCTCTACATGGAATGCTCTGTCACCAAAGCTGAGCTGTGATACAAGACCCCTCATCTTAAAAACACTTAATGAACTGTTTGCCCTGGTTCCCTCATTAACAGTGAATACAAATGAATATGAGGTATGTGCCTGTGGCCTAAAGTGTATTTCTTCTTTTAGTGTATCTCTGCATGCAAATTATAGATGTGCCTACTTATTTTCGGATATCTAAACCACGCTGCCTGGCTAATTCAAGTTAACGATAATGCACGTTTCCTTACGTTGCACAGTTTCAGATTGCATTAATAAGTCGCAGGAGAGAGGTGAGAAATACTAGTCTTCACCAGTGCAGGGGTGGGGGGGCTTAATCTGAACAGTTAATCTCCCAGATTAACTGTTAACTGGGGTTAATCTGCCAGAACAAAGGCATGAGAGCATGTTTACAGTTCAGCTCTGTACCCCCTCCACTCTGGCTCAGTGTGTGTTGAGGTGGCAGCAGTTCTTCTCAGGTGGAAGGTGCCTTTTCCTTTAATGTGAATAAATAATGTGAATGCATGTTTTATTTACTTTTATAGAAATTCAAAGCTCAAGTTATCAGCTTCCTTTGGAACAACACACAAAACAAGGTAGGTGACACACCTGAAAAAGTTATTTTGTGGTGTCAACTGCTGAATATTGGGGTTTATACCTTTTTGTCATGAAAAAGTTAAGTGTCAGAAGTCTCGTTTTCTGATCATGTTTTCTCATTGTCATTGATTGTTTAACACTGTTTTTGAAGTAGTGTGATGCTTATGAAAGTTGGTAACTGGTAATGCTGAGGTCATTCTCTCTGCCACTCTCAAGAACAGGTTTAATTAACATGGGCAAAAGCAGTTTGAGTTCTGATATGATTGAGTTTATCTGATATGATAAAGCTACTTTTGCCAAGTTGCAGCTGTGACATTTAACCCAAATTGGGCATGCTGGGGATACTGATTTGAGTAACTACAACATGTGTAGCTCAATACAGGATAGCTACACAGGTGTGTACGCCCCATTTCTTTGGTGTGGTTTTGTAGCACTGTGTGAATTTTGGGCCATCACAGCCATGTGACGAGGAGAGCCAAAGCAATTTCATTTAAACGTAACTCAGGTGTTTCTACATGAACTACAGTCACAGCTATTAGGGAGTGTAGCAATCACAACGTTGGCCTAGATAATGCGTCTTTCTAGTTTGCATGGTATTTATAAAAAAAAAAAAAAAAAAAAAAAAAAAACTAACTGAAAAAGTGCCTGAGGAAAACTTCCTTTTTTTATAGGAAGAGTCAGTCTATTTCAGCATTCAGTGGTTAGTGGAGAGGCTTTTTATACACAGACTCTCCGTTAGGTAGCAATACCGTGTGCTGTGCTGTGCTTATAATCTTCTTCCTGCTCATTTTTCTAGGATGCTGTTGTAGCAGTTTCAGCCTATAAATCACTCTCTTCATTTGGCTCTGAAGAACATACAATTCTTCACCTTCCTGAACAGGTAGCAATGTTGTATGTTTAGCAGTGAGGACATGTGAGGCTTCCACCAGACATAATCTGTATCATATTGGAAGGGAAACAAGGATTGTGCTTTCTCTGCCAGATAACCATGGGAGCCTTGTACAAAGGAAGTGAACTCATGCTTGTGAAATAGAATGCTGTTGTGTGTGATTAGCCTAGCTAACTCTTGAAAGAGGGGAAGGCTGCAAGTGAAGGCTGAGTGAGGTATAAGCAGTCAGAAGGCAGCTTTTCTTCTTTCATTAGTTAAATTGGCAGGTTGTTCAGGTGCCTTTGGGTACTTTGTTTGCATCTGGTAAGGTGTGAAATCAGACCTTGATTCATGAAGTTTTAAAGACACTAGGCAGCTCAAGTGAATATTGTTCCACCTACTGCTGTCCCACTCATGCTTAGGACTCCTGTCTCTGAATTAGGCAAGTTGATCTGAACAATAAGTGATTTTTTTTTTTATTTTTATTTTTATTAAGATTAAAAATTTTCCTGTGCTTGTGTTCTGAACTTTTACAGCATGATATCTTGCACCTGTTGATAAAGGCAGGCAGAAAGAAGTTGTGGTTATTTACTGGAAACGTTGAGTATATGTGGAGGGCCTTTAAACTCTGAAACTTCAGTCAGATCAGTTGGGTCAATAACCTGACAAAATGAAGGAGTACAAGGAGACTGATGTTTAAGGTCATCCATGCAAATTTTTTTTTTTTTCTAATAATCTTGTAAGAGAGGCTGTGCAGTAGTCGGCAATCCTTTAGTACTTTATGGTGCAGTAAATATTTCTGTAAGTTTTTATTTCCTGCATTGTTACAAAATTCGGTCTGTCTGGGTGTTGTGACCGCTTGTGATAAAAAGTGATAAACAGCTTTAAAATTAAGAAACGTACTTGCTTTGTATAAACTAATGAAAAAAGGTGAACATAAACCCTACAAATAAAAATGTGTTTATATCAAAAAGCACAAGATAGACAATGAGAAAAATCTCTAAACACTGCTGCAATAATAAATATCTTTTGTGGTGGCACATAACTCTATTAATGGTGTTGTTATTTTACACTCTTACTAGGCAAATATATTTGTGTTAAATGCATTAAAAATATGATCATCAAGTTCTGAAAGCTAGTATAGAAAAATAACTTTTTTGATCAGAAATGTTTGCTATATATTAAAATGTCAACATATGATATTTTTCTGAATGACTGGAAAAGAATCTGAGTGAAAATGAAGGTTTAGTAATATTAGTTCAGTTCGTGGGTGTCATGATTGATTTTACTATTACGGATACCCTAGATATACGTACTTGGGTGATCTTATAAGCCTGCTGTGCAGGTAGAAGAAAAACTGTTCTTTCAGCATCAAATTAATGGAGTGAGATAATTGAAATTGATGGCTTTTCATATTGAGTGGGTGTTTTTGATATTTGGAATCATGAAAGTTAGTGGGAATTCAGAATTAAATGTTTTTGTGATGATACTTTCTGTTTTCATCTTTCAGGCACGACCAGAAGTTGATCCACTAGAGGAGATGGACATGAATGAAGAAGAGGAAGAGAAGGAAGTGGATCTCTCTGTTCCAGGCTCTTCCTATATCAAGCTGTTGTCTCTGACACCAGCTTCTGTTTTAGGAGGTAGAATATGTTTAGTATTTGAGGTTACTATATAGCTTTAGAAGCAGTGACTGTACAGGCATGTAGCTCCTTTATAACAGAGTGGCATGTTAGAGTGCAGCCTTATTTTGTTTCTGACAAAGTATCTTAGCAAATTGCAAGAAAAAATATAAAGTAAAACTTGAAAGGAAAACAAACAAAACCTCCCAACCCAGTCTTAGGAAGACAGGGTTCAGAGGTCCTGACAGTGGAAAAAATGGTTATAATGTTCTATAAACTCCTGCTGTTATATGGTCTGTCTTATGGCAAAAGCTAGTTGCTTATTATTTGCCTCAAGTGCCCAGTGTTTCATCACAGTATGAGCTCAAGAGGGAGACAGTGCAGACATTGTTAAAGGCAACTCTTTTTTTAATCCCAACATGGGTTGAAAAAAAAATGACATAAAAACCCCTGGTGTTTTATAAAGTATAATTTTCCTAATATAAAAGAGCACTGTTGATTTTTTTCAAAACTTTAAAATAATGTTAGAACAGTACAACATGCAAAATATAATCAATCAGTAAGAGTTCAGTGCTATCCCTAATTTTAATGATACACGTTGATACTAAAGCATGCTTCAAGGGATCATCTCTGCTTGATATATCTGTTTTGACACCTAGACAGTTGAATCCACTTTAGAATTTGGAGATTTTTATGTTCACCTGATTACTATTGTTAATACTATCTTTTATCTCTAGATACAAGGTTGTAACATTGGTACCTAGGTGCAGGTGTTGTTATTTCACTCTTTGTAGAATGCCTGGGATATCGTTCTGTGGTTGCAGTCTGTAGGTGTTACCATGATATAACTCATCTTTGTAATATTTTTCTAAAGGGGAGTCCTAGAAACATGCTTTCACAAAATACTCTGTGCGTTTTGGAGTCTGAAACATGTGCAGCTTCACCTAGAGAAAGGGACTATATAGCCTGTTTAGTGAATTCTGAAGGGAAGCCAAAGTAACATCTTTCAACTAAAGACAGTAATGCAACTGGGCAGAAATCTCAAGCCATACAGTGAACCTTGAAGTGGGCAACTTACCAGGAAGGTGGGAAAATTGCAAATGGTGTTTGGAGAAAACAGACTGAATAAAAACATGCATGCCAGCAGCTTTTCCACCCCAGAGCATTCATTAGATAGATTCTTGAGTCTTCATCTTCTAACACTGCCAGTTGAAACTGAATACAGAGTACATACTTAAACAAAAACTTTAGTTTTGTGATCAGCAGGGGTTATTGTCATGAATTGGTAACTCCCATGACAGGGTGGGGAAACTGGATGTCTGAAGCAATGACAGAAATGCCCCAGGAGCCTGATAGGTCTGAATCTGTGCCATCTGATCTGGTGGAATTTTGCTGTTACATGTTACTGAGATAATTCAGTACTTCCTTACTGCTTGGTAAGAGAAGGACCCAGGTGCTTTTAAAGATGATGGTCTCTGTTTCTCATTTTCCCCTGAAGTCCTTGTTAGCGCACGCCAAAGCAACTAAAACTTTCAACGAAGTGCTGCTTGTGAGATCTTTCCTCTTCTTGTTTTTCCTAGCTGACTCCTTGAACTCTGAGCTGCTTCTTTTTACTTTTTCTTCCCTCCCTCCTCCTGCATCCTTGGGGCTGGAAAAATCTTTAATCTTTTTCAGCCTCCACATGCTTCTTCCTGAAGAGATGAACACTTGTTGCTATAGCAACAGCTGATAAAACACAGAGCTGCAACCAAAAGATGGTGTTGGTATTGGCATTACTGTTGAATTACGGGAATTTTTTTTTTCCAAGAGCCTTCCCCAGCTCTGTAGGGGGAAAACATCTAAGCTTGCAAACAAAGCTACAGAAACTATTTCTGCAACAGAGCAGAGAAGAAAAGCTAGAAGACAAAGTAAAATGTAGACTTTTATGACAATTGATTGGAACATGCTGCAGTTCGCTTACCATAACTGTCTGCTCACATGAACCATTGGAAACTGAAATTGTGGGGAATATCTTCTCTCAGACTCCTTTAAAACTGCTTTGTCATTCAGCTTGTCACACTTTTATGCCTGTTTCAGGCAATTGTCAAAGCACTGGCGTGCACAGGATAAGGGGAGGATTATGATGGTCCTTGTACAAACTGTTTTTGATTTTAATAATTTTTCATCTTGGATGCCTGAAAACTGTCTGAAACCTTGAAGCCTCATAATAATAAAGCCTTGAAGCCTCATAATAAAACAAACAAACCACTAAACACTACAAAATTTTGGCAATACTTGATAACTTATTATTGAGAGGAACATCTGAGGTATTAGTTGCCTCTTTTTTCCTTCAGCCTGATTCCAAGAGTTGGAGTACGGTGTTCTGTCATTTGTAGCATGTCTAGCTATTTCCTGAAATTCACTGAGATTTTCTAGTTTGAGGTTTTTGTCTGGCAGGCTATGTCCTTGGGCTGTATCTCTTGCCTCAGAATTTGCTTTGAATGCCTGTAATGGCTACTTCAGTTTGGCTTCACAAACAAGAAATAATGATACACTAATTCTTTACAATTTTCAGCCCAACCTGAACATGAAAGCTACAGCCTGAGAGCAGAGAACTTAATAAACAATATCTACTGCTAATCCTTACAGAAATCATAGTACAAGCTTTGTACTTTTGTGTCTCTCCTCTCCTGCATGTGTGTACTGTCTACACTATTCACACAGACTCCTCTTAAATCTTCTAAAAACAATATATTTTGTGAGAAAACGTGTTTCTTTACATTTATAAACATCTATTTAATTTCTCACTCTCCTTCCTTCAACCTGTGCCAATGTTACAGGTATAACAATCAAAGAATGTAATCAGCAGCTCAGAGAATAGTTCAGGCTATTTTTCTTTTCTACCTGAGTATCTGACATGATTTATTCAGTCTCTTGAGCTGGAATTGCAGTAGCAGTGAGTATGATACCGTAGCTGCAAAGAGTTCTCAGTTCCTTGATCTTGAGCTTTGATCTGAATGTGTAGTTACTAGTTTAGGTAAGCATAACTGCCCTGAAGCATGCACAGCTGCAGTTCTGGGTTTACTAGGATTTTTTTGGTCTCTCCGTCATCTGGCTCTGACCTTCCCTTTCCACCCTCCTGCTTTTCATACGTTTCATCCAGCATTTGAAGAGTTTGCAGCATCACTTGTGAAACAGGAGATGACCAACATGCCCCGTGGTGTGTATCACTCTGCCTTGAGAGGAGGGACCACACGCTCAGACCAGGGCAAGACTGTGGCAGGCATTCCGAACTTCTTGCTGAAAATGTATGAAAGGAACAAACAACCAGGGATGACACCAGGCCTTGCAGGTAAGCTGTCACTTTCTTGAATCCTCAGGTCTGTTAATGGTCAAGTGAGGCACGCGTACAAGCTTTGACCCAAAGAGATTTTTCTGAATCGGAGTCTGAGACTGGATCAGTTTAAGAAGTAATCCTATCTAATGCCGCTTGCATGTGTTTACATAGGCTCACTTATACTTTTAGATTGTTGGCTTTTATTAAATTAGCTTTAGAAGTTTTGTCTTCTCAAATGTGTCATATGCAATACTCTTTTGAACTATTATCAAGAGAATTTGTGCTGACCTTCCTTTTCTTTTCCATTTCTTTAAGCTGGCATGTTGTTATGTTACGACCTTCCAGTCCATATAGGCAAAGATGGCAAGCCTATTAATCGTTTTCTGGCCAGCAGGGGACGCAATTTCCAGCAAATGTTGGTAGCTCTCATTCATGAGGTAAGGTGGTGGCTTTTCTTCCCTTTCTGAAATATTTTGCTTCCTTCCTCTCCCTTACTACCCAAGGAGTCTCCTTTTTTTGTTGTTGTTAATTAGGGAATAGTAGCAACTAGCTATGGTATGTATTAATGTACCATAATTAACTAAAGTTTCTCTGAGGGACAGTTAACTTGAATTGAAAATGTGAATACTTTTTTTTTTTTTTTATGTTCACTGCTGAAATGTACTTTATGAACATCAGTAGAGGAATTGGAAGCTGACATCTGCCCTTTATCTACCTTGCAGACTACTTGTACCCGCTTTGTAGCTGCTGTATGTAACCGGTTCTAGATGAACAGCAAGTCTGAATAATGACTGCATGGAGAAAATACATCCACCTTTTGTTAGGGATTGCTATTTTATTGTCTCTTAATTATTTCAGCTCCCTGACCTATTATGCTGATGTTACTGATTCTATGCAGTGATCTGTAGTAAGCTGTAATATGTCAATTCATGTATTTTTTCAGAAAAGAACAAGAAGTAAGCTGCCCAGTTGGTCATTAGAGAAAATAAAGTACTCAATACTAAATGTTTCAGAGAGTTTAGAGTTATGGCACTTTAAAGTTTTCAAAGATCAACTTTCATATCAACCATAAGAGAGAAGTAAAACAAAATGAGTAGTTAGACTAGACTGGGGAAATAAATATTCCTTTCTGAGTTTTTATGTCAGTGAGAGCATTTACTAACTCAAGTGGAACTGTGTTAATCTGTTTAAGAGGTCATAAAATAACTATTAATACAATCATTTTGCATTGCTGCAGAATTTAATAACATGCATCTCAGGATGAAGATTCTGTTCACAGAACATGAATAAGAGTATATGAATTAAGTCATTTTGTTCTGCCAAGTGTGATACAAACAAGAGAGCATAGATGAACTTAAAAATATCTTCTGTCAAAAATTTAGGTGGGACTCAGGCTGAATCTCCAGAGATGAAAACAGTATGTGGGTAGCTGGATTATTTTAAAGAATTTTTTCACCTACAGCAATGCCAATTCTTAGTGTGATTCTCAAGGATAAAAAATTTTTAAACAGTCCCGTGACTCCTGCCTACGCTTCCAAACAACATCTGTCCCGTGTACGGGCAGTTTGATACTACTAGAGGTTACTTGATTGCGTGCTATTTTGCACGGAGAAGCCTTTTCTTGAGCGCACAGGCTGGATTCTGTGTTGAGACTGAACGAGAACTGTATAGAAAAGAAAGTTTTTTGGCTAACAAACCTATTTTACTTGTAACAGAAGTTGCAAAGGTAGTATGAATAAGGCAGGGGTTGCAGGTGGAAGTGTATCTGGCTCCTGATCTTGCTTGGTGACTGTCACCCACCAGAGCTGGAGCCTATGCCCTGCAGAGTTCCTATACAATGCCAATGAAATCACTGACATAAAACGTTTTGTTACGAAATAAACAGGACCTAGGGTTTGAGTGGGAAGGTTGTGTTCATGGGGCTTTTGGAGTTTTTTTGTTATCAAATGGAAGTGCATGGGGCTGTGTTCTGATCCTGTGGTGCATCAGCCTGGTTCATTCCCAGGATCTCTTTGGAGCAAAACACCTAGTTCCCTCCACAGCAAACTTATCTGCAGCATAGCTTGCCTGAAGTTTTCTCTCAGACAGCGTAAATGTGAACTGTTGTGAATTTGTTTTCTTCTATCTGTCTATCTCTGTCCCATCCCTCAAACACTTCCATGGATGCACTTAAGCATCTCCTGTAAAAATACCCCGCTACAGGGCTGTTGACACAGTATTTCATGTTGGGCACTTTGAACTGAGAAAGCACAAAAAGTGATAATTATGTCTTGAGGCCACAGAGATACCACATGGATCCCAGAGGAAATTTGGGCCAGGTGCTGTAAGGACATAAGCCAGTCTGTATCAGCTCAACTTGGGGCTAGGAGATCACTCCCTAGTGCTGTCTACAAAGGCAGTGTCAACAGGGTTTTAAAGTACTTCAGTTACCAAGGCGTTCCCTCAAAATAGCAAACCAAATAAAATCCTAAAATACAGATCTCAAGCATCTAGTCAAGGATGCAAATTGTGTAGATATTTTCCACCTTAATGTCTTCTACTCCTGAAGAATGAGCGTATAAACTGGAGATAATACCTCTCATAATCACAGGGATGTGAAAGTAAAATTTATTAGGGCATCCAAGCAGTTGAAAGATCACTAATGGGGAGCACCAGGGGAAGCCCATAACAATACTGAGAAATATGTCATTGGAGGAGATTTAGAGTAATGAATTGTGAATGAAGCATGGGGTTGTATACACTCCAAAGGGAAAAGCTCAGCATGTCGTGTAGCTGCTTCATTCTGTGGGATCTGGGTCCAGTGCCAAAGGTTCTGGATGGGAGGGGAAAAAAAATTAATTATATGATAACAGACATGGATTGAAATGTTTGAAGAGCTGAATTACAGTGGTATGAAGAGCAATTCTGCTATTCTGTAGATTTTTTTGAATATTGGATTTTATGCCTGTGGTTGGTTTGTTTTTTTCCTTCTAAATTACTGTGTCTGTAAACAGTCACTGTTGCCCTGGTAAAGTGCCAGTTACTATCTTTGGTGAAAATTTAAGTCATATTTGTTTTGTTTTTGCATACTAGCACTGACTGTGACATCCAGCAGCTCATCAAGAATTGATCTTTCTTGTGCTAGCAGACTACCTTCTGAATCATAGAAGTACAACCTTAAAATAGTTTATGTGAGAACATGTGTTTTATATGTGAGAATATGTAGAATTTGAGATAGTATTGAACATGTACCAATTGCTGAAGGGCAGTAATGTTTTAAGGATATTAAAAATATCTCAAAAGTTTTACAAGAATCAGTTGATTCAGGGTGCAGGTAAATTAAAGAGAAATGTGAATATTTAAAATATGCAAGTAAATAAGCAACTTCAGACAACCTTAACTGTGCCCTTTTAGTGATAACCCACAATAACTATGAATATTTGATTAAAATATATTGGTATTTTTGTTCTCAGATTAAAGTGAATTTAAAGATAAAGTAGTGGGGTTTTTTCTTGCCTTTTTCCCCTTTATCCTAAAATAACTGGAGTTGAGGTTATCAAAAAAAAAAAATAAATTGGGCCTTTGCCTAGAATAGCAGTGAATTCGTAGGCTCATCTGCCTGAATTTCATACTGTAGTATGTAATTCGAGCCCTCAGTCATCTTTTGGGGAGCAGGTTTAACAGTTAAAAACAAGGAGCTTAAATCGTAGCTAAGAGGCCTGAGTCAGTAGGACCTACTGAGTACAACAGTAGTTATTTTTTTCCTGCACTGGCTATAGGATGTAACCGTTTTTGCAAAGTGGTTGCCCAACCTTGCACATTAAGCACACTCAATATTATAGATTCAAATTACTAATAAGACATTTCTTTGCTTCTGCTCTGACTCCTTTTCCTATTTTTTTTAACCTTATAGTGACTCTTTTTAAGTAAAATAACAACTGTTGTATTAAAATAAGGCCTTAAACTTGCCTTTAAAGCATGGCAGTCAGCATTAAGCTCCAAGAAAACTTGAGAGGTGAATGTGAATACTAAGAAATGACATTTAACTGGGAGATAGCCTGCATCACTGCTGTTGAAAGTCTCCAGCAATTGGCATTTGGTTAGTTATGGATTAGCGGTCATCAGTATAATTGCCGTACTCTCATAATGTTTGTATCACTTCAGTGATTAGGTGTATGCTTACATCTGTAGAATATGAGACCACAACTTGCATGTTGCGTATCTAGCTGCCTGTGTGCATGCTTAGTTACCATAATTGCACTTGTTTTTTGAATACTGGGGAATGGGAAATGGCTTGAGGTGCCATTCTCACTTTTGTGAGAATCTTTGTGTAAAGGAACGATCAGTGATGTTCTGCTATACAAGAGAAAAATCAGTTACATGGGGTTTGCACACAAGCAGAAGAATTTTTTTCTTGTGTGTTTAAATGTCTATAAAGCATACAAATAATAAATAGATATTTTACTTGCCTTTTAAATCAAACGGAAGCAACAACAATACAAAGGTAACTTGTGGTTAAACCTTAAGGGGTTAGACTGTTTCTCTCTCCTAGGTGCTATCCTAGCTGAGGGATGGAATGCAGCTGTAATATCTGTCAACATGATCAGATTAAGATACAGAAGGGCTTCTTTTTTATGTTATTTGAACTGGTATCTCACGGGAGGCAGAATATGTGTTCAATGAACAGTGGTGTGCTTGAAATATTGTATTTGAAATACTGGTGTTTCTGTAGATGATCAAGGAAACTTAAAGCAAACAATTGTGAATGGAGACTTGCTGCTTATCAACTTATTGAAGAAGTTGAGCAGAAATGTGACAGGATGTGTGAGTACAGTCTTGACTAAAAAAGGAAGAGTGGTGTTATTGAGGCATTTAAAGATGAGGGTTTTTAACGTAGAGTGTATCTGTATTGTCCATGGGGTGGAGCAGGTCATCTCTGTTTTGATTATTTATGACTTTTAGATTGTATTTATTGGCATGGGTTTATTAGTACTTGTGGGTAGCAGCCAACAGTAGACTTGAAGCTTTAGCACAGTCATCTTGTTTTTATTGTAAAATCCATGTGAAGGAAGAATATTGTCTGCTTTATATAGACCACCAACAGGTGAGATTAAACAGAAGGAGTTAGAAAGATAACTAACAGTGAAGAAGTGGTCAGTTGTTTATCTTTGTTATCTGTTCTGTAGAGAAGAGGCCAGTAGAGGTACTCATGGTGAACGAAGGAAGAGTTTGTGTTCCTCAAGGCCTGGACTGTTTTCCATGTTGAACCGTGACTAACCTCCATGAAATAAAGGGAGCAATAATACCTTCTGAGATTAAGCCTGGCAGGATTAGTTACTGTTGGTGGGCTTTGGACTATGTTTGATGACAGCTACAGGAGAGTTTTTCTATAACTCTGTCAGTCTGCAGTGTTCTTTTAATTTCAGAAAAGGAAAGCTGTAGGCCTTAAACCATAAACTAAAAGGATGAGATACGTTCTGTCTCACCCCAACCTGACAAGCTTATCTTTCCTTTATTAAAAACGTATTACCCTGGAAACTGCTCAGCTGAAATAACTTGTTTCCAATGGAGTCCAAATGGCTGTCATGACTTTTTTTTAATCTTTTGGTAGAGGCAGACAGTAGAAATAATTGGACACTAGCAACAAAAATTAATTCTGTATGCCCATCATGGAATATGATGAGACATAACAATGTGCAGCTGTCATTTTAATTATACAGCTTGTTTCTCCATACCATAGAGAGAGAAAAAGGGATGATACGAGTTGGTTTTTAATACGCCTTTTTGGTGAATTAATATTTTTTAATTTATAAATACCATAGAGTTTGGAGAAGGTACATGTAGCATGCAGGAGTCTGAGGACTGGGAAAACTGTTTGTGGCCTCAATTTTCCAGTTCTGGTTTACTCTGTTGCTGTAGTTATTTTGTTAATCTATGAACGGCTAGAAAATGGGCTTGTTATTGAGACCACTTGATATCAGCTTTGTTTTTCAGCGTGCTCTGAAAATGTCTGTGGGTTACTGTTTGTTGTGATAGTTACTGAAGAGAATGACTTTGGGCTCTTGAGGAAAGATTGTGCACGTGTATCAAATTGACCCGAACAGCCAAATATGCCTTCTTTTGTCATGAATTGAGTCTACCACACCTGTGTGAGATTTGGTGGTAGAGCAGGAGAGCTATTGCATGTTTCTTTAAGCTCTGCTTGAGGTCACGTTCATTTTTTTCCTATTGCTCTTAGGCTGATGCTTCCTAGAAAAACAGCTTTTCAAATTATCACCCTTCCTTTTTTCTTTAACAATTCATTTCCTTAAAAAAGTTTGAATTGTATACTAGGACATGGTTATATATACCCCAGTTATGTGTACTGACTCCTTTTGAACAATCTCCCATGTTTAGTAGTCCTCTGCTTGGATTTATTTTAAGTGTGTGTTTAAAGCTTTTAGAGGCACCTAGGATGTCCAATGTACTGTACTATCATCTTTGTTATTATGCGTTTTTCTCCACCAGTGCTACCAAATATTGCGCTTATTGTCTTATATAATTCCACTGCTCTCTCTGGGATCAGTTAGTTGAGTCAATCTGTTGAACTGCCTGAAGCATCTTGTCTTGGCTGAAGTGGGTAATGAAATGGAAAAAGTAACTTCCTGTTGGTAAAAGCAGAAAGGAGAAAATATCAGTGTTAATTTCTAACAGCCATGTGTAGTGACTGTGAGTGTGAGCAAAATACTATCAGCAAATCAGATGTTGGAGAACATGCATTTTACGTATCCGTTGAAGTCAAGTGTCAGTCTCTCTTTGAACTAATCAGTACAGCAGGGGGTAGTCCTGAATGCTTACAGAATCAGACCACTAAACTCTTAGCCATTGTATTAGTGTAACAACGGAAGTCACTGTTGGTTTTGGTGGTTTTTTGATTGCATGGCCAAAAGGTGGAGCTTTTAACCTGTTAATTTTATTGAAAAAGACTGGGGCAATCCTTCAGTCATACATAGATTGTCCTTGTTTTTAGCATTAAATGTTTCTTTGGAGAATGAAAGTATAGTACAAAACAAAATTTATATAGATTTAAGCTACTATGGAGGTCATTTTGAATTATTTTTGGCAGACTTCATATAACCACTTGTACCCTTTCTGATGTGTTGCACAGGTTAACATTCAGCCTTCTGAATGGCACCGCTCTATACTGCTGCCACAGTCCTGGTTAGGATTTATGAGTCGAACATACAGTGCAGTCTTGCAGGTAATTTTGAGCTACATGATGATATGCACATTAACTTTAATTAAAGCTCTGTGAATTTTCATTCTTACAAGTAAGAGCATCTATACATGTTAACAGTAATGTGAAAGTTAGGTTTAAGTTTTCTAATAAGAAGGTTTATGAAAATGAAGTGAAAAGTAAGGAGAGTCTTCAGCTAATGGCAGCAGGATCTGAGATGTATGTCATATAAAGGTGTGGTTTCTGCTTACAGTTCGGATTCTTGCAGCCTTGTTCCTGTGCTTAGTAGCTACCAGGGTAGGTCAGTTGTTCCAATTGTTGATGACTCTTTAAATCATGAGGTTTTACCTTGAATTCTTATCTATTATTATGGATGGAAATGTTCTAATGACAGTATCACAAAGTGGACAAAGGCTATTGAGAAATAATTAATTAAGTGTAACGTGTCTCTTATCCGGTCACAATATGCTGCCATATTCTGAGGGACTCATCTCTCAATTTTTTACCCTGTCTAACAGCAGGAAGCGTAGAAAATATCCTAAAACCTCTCCTTCATTAGATTAGCTGATATGTAGACTAAAGTAGCATCATTTGTTTTTTCTACAGAAAAATGATCTAAGAAATTGTAACAGGTAGCTCACTTCCAGAAGGCTCCCTGCGTACTGCTAGAAGGGCTTTATTTTTGTATTTCCAGGCCACCTCAGCTGCTTTCACAGTGTGAGTGAGCAAGTCAGGTTGTTGAGCGAATTCCAGAATCTTTCACTGTTCCTTGTTTTACTATATAGCAAAGCACATGCTTCTCTAATATTTTCAAAGCAAGTGGTATCTTGTCCGTCAGAGTGCCAGATTCGGAACTGAGCCTCTTTACAAAGCAGGTGCCTGCTTTTTAAATTGTAATTTTAAATCTTAACTGCAGAGGGAGCCATTATCAGCTGCATTTAATTACTTTCCTATTTCGTTTCTTCACCTGTGACACAAGGTTTCGTGAGAGCCTTGGCATTTCCCAGACTTGCTTCTGAAACCTCTTTAGGATTTCCTGCCATTTTTCAGGGCAGTGGAACCTAATTTTGTTGCTTTTGAAATCTCTTGCTGCAGACTTCTTTTTTGTTTTGTTTTGTTTTTAACTAATTACTTACTCTGTATGATTCTATAGCATGGTTCATCTGAGATGGCCAAAAGAGATTACAGTGTAAACTAAGTAGTCTGTGATTCTACAGGCACAGTACGTAACAGTATTTTGGGGCAAGTAGGACAGTATTCCTTTCTTCAGTTTGGAGACTGAAGTGCAAAGAAGTCTGGGCTTGGTTATCCAAGGTTAAACAGTCTCTCCACAGTTCACCAGAACACTTATGTGAGGATTTTTCCACTTTGTACACCTGAAAATTCTTTTGTCTTTATTAAGGCTGCTCACATACTTGGACACTTCTGCCGGTTTGCATGTTCAGCATGTTCTTGGAACTGAACCCAGCTTCATGATGATCCTACAAACCTTGATTTAGTCCAGGACTTTAGCCAGTGTTTTGAGTGTTCTGGGGAACTGAAAATACTTTAAGCATACAGTTAAGTCAAGGAGCATGCAGTAAAATGCTATTTGATGTTATGCTTCTGAGACCAGGGTAGAGTTTTTGCGCAGCCTTTAGTCAGTGTTTTATTCCTGTTCCTTTAATCATCTTGGGTGGAGAATCACCTTTTGAGTGATAGTGGAGTTTGCAGGATTCACTCGCTTGCGTTCTCAGGTTTTCATAAACGTCCGTCGTGCAAGTCTTCAGTATTTGAAAAACACAGCTATGACCCTGTATTTTCACTTAGGACATAATAACCTCCTAAGGAGCAGCAATTGAGAACTCAAGATGAGCAGCAGTTGTCTCAAGGTTTGAGACTGAACTCACCTGTAAGGCAAAGCTGTTTAACGTGTGCAGATAACACTTGTTAGAGGCCAGAATCTGTATCATCTCCTCTGAGGTACAGGAAGAACTGTAGCAGAAGGTTACTAGGAGACAAGGGTCATATGAAGGAAAAGGATGAACTTTGCTTGAAGTAATGAATCAAGAAACTGATATTTTTCTGTCAGAATCCCTTTTAGGTAGACATCTAAATCATCTTTGTCCATTCTACTCTTTCTGCTTTCCAAGGGGACTTCTCTTTCCATGGTCTAGAAGGGATGTCTCACAATCTGTGACTATTTGCGTCATCTGCAGCTGCTTTCCTCGCTCAGAATGAAAAGTTACAAATTGTTTTGGTTTATGTATTATGTATTACAATGGTATCCTGTATCAAAAATAATTAGGTTTACTCATGAAGGATCCTCAAGAAAAAGGTTACATCTGTTACTCATGTGTTCCCTGAAGAAAGCCAGTCATGATGATTGGCCGTGTAAGACCTTCTCCTGATTTATGCTGTGATTCTGCAGGGGAGACAGGCAGAGCTAGAGATGCAGTTAAAACATGGAAAAGAAGATCCTGAAGAGGTGCAGTACAAACAATTTACAGCCTGGCTCTGGTAAGGAAATGCCTGTCTGCTGCTCATCACTTGTAATGGCAAGCGAAGGTGCAGAAGAAGGGGAGACTTCAAAGGCTTTAGTTTTGCATGTTTAACAGTCTATATGAGCACTAAGGACAAAAAACCAGATATAATACCCAGCAGGGAAAAAAGGAGGCTACTGAAGAATTGTCTATAAGGTTGTTTGTACTCACAGGTACCTTCGCCTCTACAGCGTCTGAAACTTTCTAGGGAGAGCAGCATGAAGGAAGGGGAAATTGCATTTGGTTTACATCACGTTAAAGCACATGCATAGAGCAAAACTTGCTTGTAGAGACTAAGTGAGCTGCCTCACTGAAAATGGCTTGATACAGTAGATGTAAGCCATGGTACAGTGTGTCTAGTAATGGCATGAGGGAAGAGACACCTCATTTCATATGAGCCAGCTGAGTCGTGTGTCTCACAGCCTTTCAGGATTTAGCCTGTGCACTGGAGAGGAAAAAAGAGAGAGAGAACAACAAGTATTTGGACAGTATAAATGCCTGTTTTTGAGCATGTCCGTAAGTGTGCTGTGAACAAAACCAGTACAAACAAAACCAAAATGGTTTTTGCCCAGTTTAATCAAAAAAGTACTAGTAAGTCCCACATAGAAGGAATACAAAATTGCTATGTTTGTTGTTTTACTCTAGCTAAGCCTGGATTAGATGGTTTCATAACAAGATCCAGAATGATGGGGTATTATAGAATAGGTTCTTTATGTAGGAGCAGGATTTTCTGTTTTACTTTTCCTGATACCTTTCTTGATAGGGAATAAAGAGGAAGCGTTATCCAGGTGGGAGAGGGATGCGGTACTGCTGTTGTAAATTTCTCCTAGCCTGAATTTACTTCATATTTCCTAATTTTATTAATGTAAGCTATGTCAAAAATGAACAGGTTTCCATTCTTCAAGGCTCTAAATAACTTCAGCACCTATTAGTCATTTAGGTGCTGCCCATTGAATTTAACCTGATTATGGACAGCTTAGTATAGATTTAAGTTAATGCTTTATGGTGTTAGTGCTGTGCAGTCTTGCATTGATATCTGCCAAGCTGTTTCCAGTGGAGGCATGTTTGAAATTGTATGCAAAAATAGTGTGCTTACAAAGGAAATATTGACCGGATTTTTAAAAAAGTCTGAGTGACCTAGGAACACTGTTTTATGATTTATGCGTTTTCAGTCATCTTATGTGCTATGCAACTGTGAAGGGTATCGTTTTGTGTAGGATGACAGTCATCGCTGGGATTTATTAATTGATATCGTATGTTTTCGTATACGGAATCTTCTTTTCATCACCCGAACTTGGCAGTATAGAAGCATTTCTGCATCTCTGCTTCTCTGCTGTTATGAATGCAAAATCAAATAAATGCAGACAAGTAGCCTATTACAAATTGACTGCAGCAATGTGTAAGAGATTTTAACTACTCCTGTAAGTTTCATTTAAATGCATGCAGGTTTCTGTACTGCCTAACAGCATAAATGCCCATAGTGGTTTTCAGGAGTATAATAAATATTGGATAAATTGTTATTGTTGACCATTGTAAAACACTTTATGAGGCCAAGGCATAGTACAGTGATCTAGAAAGCTATGTGTAACAACTCACTGAGCAGACTTATGGCTACTGCATGAACTTGCGTTTTCCAAAAAGTGAAGTCAGATGAGAGCCCTTTAGACAGCAGTGGTTGTCTAAACCACACACAGCACAGGAACTTGAAAACAACATTGGGTGGTAGGTGACCACTTTTACACTTTGATAGTGTATCTTTATGTACTTCTTGCAGCGTCTTCAAGATACACATGAAAAATGAGATATGTATTGACCTAAAATGGGCCACATGTAAGGCATATGGGGAAATTAGCTGACTTAATGCTCCCATATAATGTATTTAGTGTACATTCTTTTTGTTTCCGTTGCAGGGTGAGAGATATGTTGACCGATGTCATCAAAGGTGCTTCAAAGTAAGAATTACTCATCTACTACAGACGAAAATTAATTCTTCTGTGTTCACTTTTGAGGCAGAAGATATAAGACAGTATATCTTGCAATTGACTGTGCTAAATTAGTGATTTCACCTCATTGCTGTTCAAGAAAAGAACTCTTCCCACTTGTGCAATGAATATTTTTCCACTGGCTAAGTCATTAGAAAGGCATTCTCTGAAGATCTTGTAATGTTACCCTCTGCAGAGCTGGTACTACCTGAGATAAACTAGTGCATTTTTCTGGACACCACTTGCTGTGCAAGATGGCAGTTCTCTTTTTAGTAGCAGCAGATTCTTGTTGCATGTACAACTCTTGTGTGTGTCAGGCTTTTTATAGAAGGCAAGTAAGAAAACTGAAACACTTTTCTCTCCACTGTTCTCTCTCTAATTTCTGAAGATGAAATATTCTATACTTTTACTGGGCCAGGAGACAACCTAACAAAATTGCTAGGCCAGAGACCATGTCAATTAAGGCGTCTCTTCCCGCTCAGATTACCGGTAGCACATACTTTCCTGCACTGAATTGTTTCATTGCCTGTGTCTCTGTTATGCTTCTTGACTCGTCTTTGCCTTTTTCTGTCCAGAGACAGCCCAGTGGTGAAAGGAAACTCTCTCTTAGCCTTAACCGGTCTTGCGGTTGCAGTAGCCAAATATGAAAGCAGCCTTTCCTCAGACACTGAAGGGATGCCTGAGGTGAGTTGATCTTTGAAAAAGAAGTTCTGTACTCTTAGTGGAATATAACGAAGCAACGAGACCAGGTGTGCAGGGGGCTGGTAAGTGCGTACGGAGTCCTGCACGCTGTCAGATTTGAAGTTGACCCTACTTAGTGGATGCTATCTGGTAGCTGTTATGTGATGCATACAAAGCAGCTTGGTGGTTTCAGTCAGAGTAGACACCTTCTCATGAGAACCCCAATGAGTAATAAGTTTATTGTCAGTCTTGGCAAATGTGATAAAGGCAAATGGATACTGAGGCCTAGCCTCTTTTCTCATCTCTTAGTTACAGCAGGGTGTTTTAAGGTGGTATATGAGACACAGTTCTTGTTTTGGCATTGACAGAGCACGTCCTGACGTTGCAGTGACCGTGAATGTCCAACTTTTATATGCATGGATAAGAGAGATCCTAAAGCCAACCAAAGAAAGCCAAAGCCAAACCAAAGCTAAAAAGAAAAAAACCCTTCAGCCAGAGAAAACCTCAGACCCAACAGTTATCTACTGAAGACTGAGTAAAATACATGCGCTCAGATGTGCAACCTTTGCTAATGGATCCAGAAGGATAAAGACTCCTAAGGAAAGGAGGATAATGCTCTGGGAGTCTTTTATTGGTTTAATTAATTTTTTGACTTCTAGTGACCTGGAATTCTTTGTCTAGGCGTAGTAACTTGTTCAGCTAGTATTACCTACTCGTTTTGAGGGTCCCTTTGAATGTAATATTTTTGAGCTGGCTAATAGTGGAAGAGTTTCCAGAGCGTGACACGATGCACATGATTATATGAAGAGTTGCTCACAGAAGGAAGCTGAAACAGTTCTTGGAGAAATGGAAAATACACCTGTGAGGGAAAGAACTTTTTCCTAGCTGAGCTTATTTACATGACAGTAACTCATTTCCGCACTGAAAGGCTCCATTCGTCCATGTTCGCTCAGCATCTGAGACTTTCTTATTTGTGGCAAACTGGTAGTCATTCATTGGTATTTTCCTCCTGGTGTTACAACCAAGAAATATACCTTTCTTTACATCTGTGAAAAATGCATTCTCTTGCTATCCCGTCCCCAACGCTTGTTGGATTTCTACTTTTTGAGAAGGGGAGAGGGCTTTTGAGCCATGCATATAATAGGGACCTTGTACTCTAATAGCAAGAGAGTGTATCACAGTCCAAGGCACCATCTTTAGAGAGCAACATTTGAGCAAAATATTATTATGACCTGGGTGCGTTATATTTTTGTGTCTCAGGGCAGTTGAGTTTCCTGAATATTTTTTGTGTGTGAATGGGTGTGTATGATATATTTGTATAATGCCTTTTATTATTGGGCAAATCTTTAAACAAATATGTGTAGGCAGATGGAGTCTTGATTTTTAAACAAGAGCTTTTATCTGCCTGTATATGATAGCTACTTGAGTAGAATTTAAGTGTTCCTGTCATAATTCAGGACACTAAAGTAATTAACAGTAAGATGCTTCAAGACTCTTGTACTTTATAGCCAAGCTGAAATTACTCAAATAGTCATGATCAGTTTTTGTGGCTGCATTTAATTTTGCGTGGGTCGAAAGGATTCGTGAAAGCAGTAACATGCTAACACTGAGCTGTATGAGTTTGGAATTGTGAAAACAGTGGGGGGAAAAGCCCACAAAGTATTATGGAGTTCTCTTGCAACTGTCGCTTTTACTTTCACTGAGTAGTAACTTGATCAAAAGTAGTGTCTTGTCATGTAAAATATGCTACTTCCTGTGCATAAAAGTGGCAGTATAACCTCTTTGCTGATGCATTGTAGCTGGAGAGCTTCTATTCAAGTAGGATCTCATTAAAGAAAAGATGATTATTTGGGTTTGATTTATATCATGTTTATCACTTGCAGACTGAACCTGATTTTCTTCCCACAAAACATTGGATTTCTATGGTCATAGAGACCCTCTTTAGTATTGTGAATAGCCGCTATAACCCTAAAGGTCGAGTCTTCCCATGGTTCTATCAGGTATGTCTAGAAACACAAGTACACCTAAGATATTTAACCAAGAGATGTTAAAGGCAAGAGAATATGTCTCGATTTCATACCTAGAATACTTGATCTGGAGTTGCCTGTTTTTTTTAATCCTTGCAGCAGTCATGATATTGGACTCTTCTTTTCTTTCTTTCTTTTTTTCTTTCTTTTGAGGGGCTTTCTACTTATTTCTGGTCTTGCATTGAGTTTTTCTTTGTTACCAAAGAAGTAAAAACTACATGAGATGTGATATAAATGGAAAGAAAAATTAAGGAGGAAGAACTGTATATTCTGCACACATTTGCAAAACAGAACATTCTAACATGAACAGACTCTCCTCAGGGGAGACGACTGTATCAAACTCCTGAGTGATTCTGAGCATGCCTTCAGGCTGTAAAATGCTGGCTTTCTCAAAAATCTAATAGTTATTCTCATTTTACAATATCTCTTGAACATCAAAAGACCCATAGAAGTTATGTCATATGTGATTTCAGACAGATAATCAGCCTGAAATTCTCAAGCCATGTAGGATTTAAGTATCAGGCAGTTCTTAAATGTGACCTGGAGATGGACTGAAAGCTCAGTGTAGACCTTAAGAAATAGGTATATTTAGCTCTCAGCTCTGTGTGGTCAAAATTACTAGGCTGGAGATTCGTGATGCCATTGGACAGAGAGGGAGCCTGGATCCTACAAGGGCACATATCAGTCTACTAATGCATCAACGATGTTTTCCAACCTGATTTTTGGTTTACTCCTTGTTATAGCTGTGATAGTTCTGATATTTTTCTCAGGTTGGCTGAGACAACTAGCTGGGGGAGTGTTGGCAAACTGATTAAACTGCTTCTCTCTCCCGTTACGACCTATCATACGCTGAAAAGGACAATAAAATACTCCTTATGGTACTTCATGTATGAGGTCACTCTAAATGGGTGAACAGTTGTACTGTGTGCTATCTCTCCTGCTCTCCTCCTTTCCCTCTCTCCCTTCTCTTTGAAGAGATGGGCAGCATAGAAACCAGCTGCATCTGGTCCAGTCAATGGAAAGTTTGTGTCAAAAAGCTGAAAATTGGTAATGGACCTGAATCAGCTACAGCATGTGTCCTCTGTCATCACTGATGGCGATATAGATCACTAATTTAATGGAGTGTTAAATAAATGCTAGACTGGTTGGAAATGAGAAAGTTCAAGTACTTGGTTGTCACTAGCAGTTTTTGCTGAATTGTTGAGAGACTCCTGCCTTTGAAAATAATACTATTTAAGAAAAGGTATTTTGAGATGGAGCGGTGTGATGTGGCTTATATTTTTATTTCTAAAATCCACTCTGTGTAAAAGAAAAAAAAACTGATTTCTTGTCTATCTAAAATTCCAGGGCACATGACACATACCACTTTCCTGCAGGTTGCCTTGCATCCTAACTGGAATTTTTTTCTTCTCCTTTTCATAGTTGCATATTGAACTTAATGCATATACATGAGACTATTACATATAATCAGGCTGTTGCTTTATAAATAAAGGCAGCTCTGTGGATTTTAGCTTTTAAAAATGAAAGGAATTAAAAACCTTTATAAGGAATCTTCCTTCCTGAAAGCATTTCTACTGGTAGTCTTGCAGGAGGATCTCACAATATTTGGTCATCGTAGACATAATACTTTTAAAGTACTGCTTTTTCCAACTCGGTAAATTCTTGGTGTACTATGATTCTGAAGTGCATGAATGACTGTTTCTTATTTACAGTTCTGAGTACACTCCTGAATATTTTAGCAAGGAAGCTGAAAACTAAAATAGAGCAATATATTTATGTGCAGCCTAGCTATTGAATTCCACTTTCCTCTTGTCTTATCCTTTGTTTACAGTTCCCTACTTAATCTTATTTACACTTAAAAAATTATGTTCTCAATTACCATAATTTTACACTAATTTCAAGGTAAGGCAAATAGAAATGCTGCCATAGGCAGTGCCATGAAATACTGTTGTTCCAGATTACAATACAGCTGTGCTGTTGTTCACTGTGTACATATTTATTGAACTCTTAGAATGCTGGATGTTATTAGCTGGAAGGGAATTTTATTCCTCTTCCCCAGGAGGAAAAGAAAAAAAAATTCTTTTACGTTTTGTTCCAGAAATCCTATTCTGGTGAAAATACAGCCAGTGCTATAGCTCGCTCCTGTGCAGCCACTGCTTTGTCTCTCCTGGTGCCAGTTTTCATTGTATCATGCAAGGAGAAAGTTGAGGAAGTCCTGAGTATGCTGACTGCCAGGTTACCCGGGAAACCAAAGGCTGATGAGTCTCAAGCTGTTCAAATCCACATGGGCCTGGCTTTGGGAATGTTTATCTCACGTTTGTGTGAAGAAAAAGTCAGGTAGGGATTGCCATGTGTGTGACATAGGCATGCAAATGACTTCCTCGTTTTCCCTACTTGTGGCATTCAAGTTCTGAGGAGCAAAGTAAACAGAAGTCATAGTCAAATGATTCTCGAGGCATTTTGTTAACGTTCCTTAAAAGGTCTTTTCATTTTTCATCATGTTTTTTCCTCTTCTGTGCTCTGCTGAATGTTTTCTTCTAAACATTTTGCCGTTCCCTCAAGATGAATGATTAATTTTTATGATATCCTAAACTACTTGTGCAAGTCAGTCAGCTGAAAGAGCCACAGAAATAGCCCTTTTAAGGGAGTTAGCTGCCCTAGGAGACTTTTTTGGTAAAATAATTCCTAATTCTCACTGGTTCTTTTCTAAGTGATGTTCTGTATGCAAACTATTGTCTACTTAACATCATGTGAGTTACGCATGTGGAGGGAGACGCATCAGCAAGGGAAATGGTATAATGAGCTGTCCCTATGTTGTGTTGTTACTGCTGTGTTGGCAGCAAAGGGATATTCTGAAGTTGGTAGAAAATGCCTCCTTTAGAGAAGGTTGGCCTCACTCCAGGATTCTGGTCTCAAACTTCAGATCATTCCAAGAAATTGAGAGAGATAGGTTTGGTTTTATATACTTCCAACCCCTTGACTGCTTGGGATTGTGTCTGCCTATATATCTCTAATACCTGCATAACTGCTGCATATTTGACAATCAGCTCTTAATTTGCTCTAAAACTAAGGTTTCTGGAGGATCTGCCTTCATTAAAAGAACGTGCAGCATTGCACTTGTTCTAATACTCATGCATCGCTGTCTTGATGCATTGCTGTCTTCAACTCAGCAGCATGGTTTGGGGATGCACTGTCTCTGGATAATTGGGCAGTAGTGACAACTAAGCTATAGACAAGCACTAAAAGGCCCTTGAGAAAATGACATTAGCTCATCTTGGTGTTCCTGAAGTATGTGAGCCTATTTTTTTTTTTGGGGGGGGGGGGGGGGCGGGGGGATAATATGACATTTATCTAAAAATTTCATATGGACTAAAACAAATCAGATTTTACTCTTCCACTGCCTTGTATAATTTCAAAGCTTAACCTCAAATATTCTTCCAAGTATTGACATGGACCAACAGTAAAACTCATAAGGATGTATCTATAGCTAATATCAAATCATAGGGATAACTTACCTTAAAGATGTCTTCTACCTTAAGACGACTGTGGACATGTGTTTTTTAAAAGGGGATCCGTATGACATCTTTGCAATGAGATATAAGGACTTCCACAGGCAAAGGGATGAAGAGAGAGAGAGACTTCTGGAGCTAATATCCAAAACTGTAATGAATTTTCAGTTTATAAACAGAGTCCAGCTGAGATTGTTTTCTCCAGCACTTGGAAATGTAGTTTCATTCTGCTGTCATGTATATTGTAAAAGTTGTGTGCTGCTTTGAGGGTGTTGTAGCAATATGGGGTACCAGTTAAGGTCTGAATGTAATATGCTTTATATTATTTGTTTATGCATATGTAATACGTTTATATGAACGTGTCACCCATGAGCAGTCATACAGTTGCTGCTTACAGACCAATATGAGATCCTGTTATAACAAGTAAAGAAATGTATTTAGTGGCCTGTTCAGTCTTACCAGGAGGCCTGGTAGCCTGTATTGTTTAAAGAGCAGAGCTATATTGGAGCATTTTTAATTTTTTGTTCTGTTCTGTTTGTAGTGATGTACCTGGTCAACAGATGAACTTACTTCTAATGAAGTCCCTGGATGCACTGGAAGACTGCTGCTTTGACACCAGTCTGGAGTACACGTGAGTTTTCTTCATTAGTGATAATATTTTATTTTCAGCTCTACTTTGTTCATTAATGCTTTCACCCCTAAATTCTGCACAGAGGAGTATAAAGATAAGGAAATAGCCTATTTCTGAGTACTTTCTGAGTACATGAGCACTCAGTGGCTCATGCAGGCTGGCAGGGACCTTGGGAGGTCCGTGGCCCTGCCCAAAGCAGACCAGGTTGCTCAGCGCTTTACCCTGTCAGGGCTGGACACCCTCCAGGGGCGGAGCCAGCACCACCTCTCTTTCTGGCTCTGCTGCTAGGCTGTTCTGCGGTGCAGAAAAAGTTTCTCCTTGTCTGCAGCCTGAACCCCTAGTGCCCCCTGCTGCTGCCATCTCCTCCTGCTTGGTGGCACCTCCCCACGCTGGCCCCAGCCGGTGGTGGTGCCTGGCAGGGCCGAGGAGCACTGAACAAAGGGGACAAATGTGCCCCGCTTGGGCCAGCCCTGCTTGCATTGCCCTGGGTGCTGCTGCCTTGACACTACCTGGTGCACGTGGCCTGGCCTTGCTCACTGCCACCAGCCTCAGGCTGCTCCATGGAGCTGCCCGCAGCTACAGCAGCAGAGCCCAGGCAAGACTGCACCTTCGTCCCAGCTGAATTTCGTGACGTTCTTCATGCCTGTTCCTCTGGCTCTACCATTTCTTCTGAGTTAACTGTGCTTATTTAGGTATATATACATATACATTGCCTCTTCCGTACAGTCCCTAGCGCAAGGGAAAAAGAAAAAATAACCCACACTGTTTTGTGCCAGCCCACACAAAAAAACATTGGTCGTGTTTAGAGATCTGCAGTCTTGTATACAGGCATTGGGAGCATACTACGAGTTCTGGGAGCAGAGTTGCTCATTTTACCTGCACATGTTCATTAATGAAAGATAGTTCTTCAAGTGCCTACTTGTCGCTCTTCAGCGATTGCCAAGGCACTCAACGCAGCCTAGCTGCTACTGCTTTGGAGCCTGTTACAGGAATGTGCATATGGATGCATTACAGCCTGAGCCCAGGAGCAGCTGCTTTGCGTGGCTCCTTTATCTGTGAGCTAGGCTGTTAATTTAACAGCTGTGGATGGCATGTTGAATATTGAGGAAGGCAAATATATTTCGTTTCATCAACTGGAGTTGCGCCTCAGGTGTCCCAAAGAGAGGAGCAGCCCACCAGCAGGACAAGAAATTATGGAAGAGTATCACACAATTGCTAGTGTTGCCAAGCCAGGAATAATCTGCACAATAAAATAAATATTTGACATGTATCTGTTGCTGGTGAACAGTCCCAGCAGGAACACGTGACCGCAGTAGTGCATCACTTCTGTGGTAACTATTTCCCCTTTAGAGTAGGGAAGGAGCTGCATTGTCTTGTGAGCCTCAGTGTGGGTGGGTAGGTTTTTCTTTGATTGTGAATGTTTTTCTACTCAGTTCTTCCCTTTTCAAGGGAAACATTCCAGTGGATCTTCTGAAAAGCTCTTAAGGAGTCACAGCTGCACATCACTGGGCTGTGAACTTGAACAGCTTAGTCAGGATTCAGATTGTCCCTTGACTGGCACAAAGTAAGGTACATGGTGCACAGGTGGCTGTATCAGCTGCATCACTTTGTTATACCCGTTGCTGCTTGTTTGCCTGACCTATTAGCTGAAGATTAAAAGTCCCACAGAAAAGCCAGACTAGACTCCCCTGACAGCAGGAGGCAGACAGAAAAATATGAAGCAATGGCAAACAAGACAAGGGGGGATAAAGAATTTCTTATGCTGAACATAATAGGAACATTTTTAAAAGCCAGTTCTAAAATTCGTGTGCAGTGTGAGCACTCTGCTTCATGAGGAAAGAAGTAATTTAAAGCCGCAAATGTTGCAGACTATTTGTCTGAGTTTGACATGTGTCAACTTCTGAACTACTGTTATCTCTAAAGGAAGGACTTTTCCAGCCTTCACCTGTAGTTAAAATAGGCACAGCCAATTGTGGCACATAAGCATTACATTTACCTGACGTGAGTGTTTTATCCGTGCTAAACTTACTGTTAAAATAGTTTGGAAGTTTGTTGAGAGCAGGTATATCATGCCGTACAAATGGGGCAAGGAGGAAGTTCTGTTTTTTCTAAATGCCAGCAGTAATCATTTCCTCTCATGGGGCTGCTCTGAGGTTACTTGTGTTTAATAGGTTCCAGGATAGCTGGTAAGAGTCCCGGTACAAATTCATCATTCTTCCATAATTCAGAGGAGATCTCTGACTGCTTTGATCTGCCAAATTGTCAGAGGCAGTATCTTGTATCATGCTGCCATCTAGTGGAAAATAAACTAATTCCCGTTTCCCCGTACGTCCACCTCCTATTCCTAACCTGGCAGCATAAATGCACATGCACATGCATGTATGCATCCTCATGCATTCCCATCCTGTTACAGTAGATGTTCTAGCTCACCAATAAATTTCTGCAGGGTGGCATGCCACCTGATTGTTTTAGAAGATGTGTGTTTCTCTGCCTCCTGTTATGTTTCTTCAGGGTGTTAAGTGAAGTTGAAAAGCATTATTGAGAAAAGGAAGTTCTTACTGTTTTTGTTTTGTTTTTAAGCCTTGAGTACCTAAATAATAAGTAAGTTTAACAAATTGTTTGGGTATGCAAACTGGAGCTCACACGACACACTTCACTGATAATGTCAGTATTGATAGGAATGTTGATTATATGCATTTTTTAGGATTTTTTTAGGAGAATTTTCTTTTGAATTTTTAATTAAAAATTTTTATTATTATTTTGGGGAAAGAAGAATAAAGAAAACAGAGCTATTACTAATAAATAATAAGCAACAGGTATCTTTTTCCCTAAGCCAATGCTTTAGCATGATGGGAGTCTACTTATGTGCCGTAAGGGTCTGTACATCTGTGTAAGCTACATGAAACACTGTAAAAAGTTTTCTCTCTGAAAATGCCACTATGAGAATAATGCTTCTAACTCAGTACTCTTTCATCTATCTTCAGCCAAGCAGGAAAGAAAATCAGTGAAGCTCATCATCTTTAAAGGGGGAGAAACCATCTCAAATAAGTATATATGAATACTATACTGCTTCAGTCTTTATCTGAACCAGTTTAAGCGATTGCAGAGCCTTAGGGCCTGATCTTAAGTAGAAGGCACTTAGACTTTATCCAGAGATGTGTGAAGCGGACATTAAATCTCCCCATAAGTTAGGTAGAAAATGAAATAATTACAGTTTAAAAATAGATACTGATATGTCAGTTTTTGGTGATGTATGTATGATGAAACGTGTATGTAACGTGATTTTTTTGAAAGTATTTTTGTACAATTCTTTATGCGACTAAATTTTGTCAGACTTACTGCTCATTTTCCTTCCCAAGCCTATTATAGATAGAGACTAAGAGAAGGTTCAGCAAGTGTTAGCATTCATAAATGTTAACAATTTTTCCAGTTACTTACCTAGATTATATTGAATGTATTATCTCAAATCAATCTGAGTGTACTGGGAAAAAAGAATGAGAACTAAATCAAAGGCAGGCATCCAGTTGTAACAGCATATGGGTAGCAAATGCAGCAGAACATGTGGTCTCTGTGTTGGAAGGTTTTGCTTTGTGCTTTTTCTCCTTTCTGCAGTCAAAGAAAAACATGGCATGTTGAAGATGGGGTTAGCCCTGACCTTTGACGGGTCTGCTTGTACAAAGCTATAGAGAATACCGAGAAGTGGTAATATTTTCTGGCTTGCCCGTTGCATTTCCCTTCTACAACAGCCTTAAAAACATGGCTTTTAAAATAAAGTCATTGCGTGGCAGAGCTAGCGTGTATCTACTAAAACAAATACTGGAGAAATATTGAGTAAATGATGAATGTTGATTCTTAAGTGTTGAGTAAAGGTGTAGTGAAGAGCCAAGTTACTATGAAACATGACATACGCAGTAGTTTTCTTTAAAGTTATTGTTCAGAGCAATAAACTGACTTGCTTTTATGGACTTTTCATAAGGTCTGTAGCTGTTTGATATGGATTTCAGGCATTTTCAACCAGAAACCGTCATCAGAATTTTATACCCTTCCTAGAGAAACGTGCCAAACTCCCAGTTACTTCAGGATTATCAGCATTTAGCCCTTCAAAATGCAATTTTTTTCTTCATCTGGAGATATAAAACTTTTTGTTTCACTATTTGCTCATTTGCTCAGTCTTTTGTGCTGTGACATGATAGAAGTGTATGCCCAGTATGTTTCCAAGCTATTGTGTTCAGAGAGGTGACAATAAATTCACAGATGGGTAGTGGCAGCAGTGCTGTGTATCTGATACACTGGCAGTAAAACACTTGGTACATATTGGGAAATTTGAGATGTCATGCAGGTGAAGTGAATGTTCATTTTAGGTAGGTGACAAACAAGATGGCCAAGTAAGAAAGATTGCTGAAGATTGCTAATCTTGTGAAATTTTTTCTTTTTACTTTACAAAAGAGGGGTGTGTGTGTGTGTGAAATTTTACTCTTGCTTCAGTCCTGCACTATGTTTTGGTCTTTGCAAAGTGACAGCGACATAAAAAAAAATTGTAACTCTAACTAGGAACCTAGTAGTCTTCTGTGAATTTTTTTAAACCTGTAGTACAGTAAAAGTGTGTGTGATTCAGATTTCCCTAAGCCATGTCCTTATTTTGTTGGCTGTTCATGAATTCAGGTATACTGCTTATTTATAAATACTGATTCCAGAGGTTTGTTGCATGTTTTTCACCAGAAAAAAAGGGTGGGGCTGTTCTGCAGAGACACCGCTCCCAGTGTTCTAGCCATGTTGGTCATTTTCATCTCCCCCCATCCCATATTTTTGTTGAAAGATGTTAGCTTAAAGCTGACTGAAGTTATTCTCAGAAATTTATTTTTTATTTAGTTGAGGAAAAGCAATTACTTTTCCCGTTTTTTTAATTGGATAGCACAACCTTAAAAGAGCACCTAATACACTAGCCACATTCAGTTGACTTTACTATGTGCAGTGTTGGTCATTGGCATGCTCGGGGAGGTTCACAAGGGAAAGGGGACCTTCATCTTCAGCTAACAGCTGCTGCTTTCGGCAATGTGTTTGTGCAGTGAGAAGACCTTTCAGAGCAGTGGGTATCCATTGTGCTCCTAGTATCTTGTGACAGGAGCCCTAGCTGGTTGGGAATTTGTTGACGAAACTGTTTAGTGTCAGAGTTGAAGACTTGTGTAAACTGGAACTCTTTGTGGGAGCCATAGGTGCTAAACTGAATAAGAAAGTATTCTCAGGTCAAGAGTGGAATTTCTGGTCAAAATCTGAAAAAGAGGTAAGGCACCATGAAAGCATTCATCAGCTGCCGTGTTAGATTACGTACTTTAAACCTATGTGCTCCTCACTGAAATTTTGAGTATCCTCTGCATCAAATTGTTGGTTCTGCCGGGATATGTCTGCCCTGTTGAAGTTGATCCGCTGTTGTGTGCCTATATTTTAATTCATAGGGGTTAGAATAGGTACTGAATTCTTAAATTCTGAAATGCAGCTGAATACCATGACCATATAGCCTTCTTAGCTGCTGTCTGGCTCAAGCAGTAACTTAATCATTTTTGCAAACTAGAACATCAGCAGAGACTGAGAGAAGCAGACCCTAAAAGCAGACCTGTAATTACTGTGTTTGATTGGGGTATCATAGAGTTTGGGATATTGATGTGAATCAGATGGAAAGGTTTGGATCCATACTTTCCCTCCTGCCAGATGATGTATTTGTTCACAGGACTGTTGGTTCTTCCAAAGTAGAAGAAATAAGGAAGCTGTTTATATATGACTTGTTGTTTTGAACCTACCTGTTCTTCTTATGCTTTCCTTTCATCCTGTGCCTCCTTAAAAGGATCATCTCAGTATGAAATGAAAATCGCTTGTAAAATGAACTGTGCTAATTATCAGTGAGGGCAAAGAGTTCTTACGGCTTAGCAATCCAGACTACTTTGGTGTTGAAAAAGAGTTCCAAGTAGCCAAGGCACCCTCAATCCCTTTTTTTTTTTTTTTTGTCTTTACTTTTAGCACTGGATGTATTTTGGGAGTAGGACTTGTTCTCTCACTTATGAGTCACAGCAGCCAAACAGAATCACGAGTACATGTTTCTGCTTCACTGCGAAAGCTCCGTAACTACTTGGATGGCAGCGAGGACCAAAGCAGATGGGTCCAGGAGGTATGGTCTGTTTTATCACAGATTTTAAATCTTCCTTTATCTTTATTTTCTCCTTTTAATAACTCAGCTCTTTAATGAAGCTTTATATCCATAGGGTATTTAATGCACCCTTTTGTACTGGAATCCTTGGCTTCTAATGGTTTCTACCCTATCAGCCTCGTTTTATATCTATTGAACAGATCAATTTTAGAATAACCGATAATGCAGCACAGATATTAAGAAATTGCCTGATAAGATATAAAATCATTATTCAAAGTGCTTCTTTAGGACCTTATCTCATAGTGAAATTACTGAAAGTTGGGAACTGTGTAACTGTGCATCTAGGTCTTTCTTTGAAAGTTGCTGTCACTAGCTAATGTGAACCTTGCACTGCTGAGTGCTGCTACAGTTGTATTTTCTGCTCTAATTATAGCATTGCTTTTGATCTGAGCTGTGCTAGGTTTGAGCATGCCCTTCAATATCTTTTGCCAAGATACTGTTAAGTTCTGATACCGCTCCTTATACCAAAACTTGAAATGGAAAGCTGATAAAACTATAGAGAAGTTGGTAACAGAAAGCAAGGATGAAAATAAGTAGGTGTTTGCTGTGAAAACCTCTGCCTGTCATGTATAAACCCACAGCAGCGAACAGCTGATTTTCATAATCCTCTGTTTTTCTAAGGGATTTAACAGATATTGGTAACGTTCATTTCTTTTTCCTTCTTGGTACTGTTGTGAAAGCTCTTTTTTGTATTAAAGGTATGATTTTATGGAGTTTTAATTTTTTTGGCACTCTGTGTGTTGTAGATTAGCCTTTTGCTGTTTATGGATCATGTGTTAACATGACTTATAGCCATGAAATCGTTTATCCCTCCCTAAGGATATCAGAGTGCTTTACTGAAGTTAAACTGATGTGCAAACTCTGTAGAGGGCTCAATACAGCAACTGTTGGGATGAAATACAGCAGCTGTTTAACATCATGAAGTAGTTCGGGATGAGAAGTATAACCTACCTTTTTCAGTTAAAATCTCCATAAGGAATTGCAAAGATAATTACAGCAGTAAAGTTTGGCCAGGACCCTTAGGATGAATATTACTATATTTGAAATGCCCTAAAGGCTCTTTCAGAACAATAAAAGACTGAGCTACTATTCTATACTTGAGAGAGCTTTGGTCTGCTGCAGTGAGAGGTCCAATATCCTCCAATAGGAGGATCAGGTTAGAGATCTTTTGTCCAAACTTGACATCCATAAATCCATGGGCCCCGATGGGATGCACCCACGAGTGCTGAGGGAGCTGGCGGATGTTATCGCTAGGCCACTCTCCATCGTCTTTGAAAGGTCCTGGAGATCAGGAGAGGTGCCTGAGGACTGGAAGAAAGCCGATGTCACTCCACTCTTCAAAAAGGGCAAGAAGGGGGAGCCAGGAAACTCCAGGCCTGTCAGCCTCACCTCCATCCCTGGAAAGGTGATGGAACAGCTCATCCTGGAGGTCCTCACTAAGCATGTGGAGGACAAGAAGGTGATCAGGAGTAGTCAGCATGGATCCACCAAAGGGAAAACATGCTTGACCAATCTGATAGCCTTCTATGACGGAATGACTGGCTGGGTAGATGAGGGCAGAGCAGGGGATGCTGTCTGCCTGGACTTCAGCAAGGCTCCCGACACTGTCGCCCATCACATCCTCCTAGGGAAACTCAGGAAG